ATATATATATATATATATTTGTGTGTGATGAATACATGTGAGGCTGGTGGGCAAAACATAAGTTGATTAATTGAGGTTAGTTATATCTTAGTTGATTTTGGTAATGTTGGATTTGATTTTGGGGTAACGCTTATATTCAACTGTTTGATGCACTATCCACCAATGGTGAATGGTTGAACTAGTTTCCAAACTTACTTGAATTCTTCAATATATGATTTGAAGCATACGGATAACGTCGTCCCTAAGATCAAGTGTTAGAACTCAGAACTCCATTCTCTGATATATACATATATCTACGCAAGCCAGATGTTAAACAAGTGAAAATGATTATTGTGAAGGAATTCCAAGGTGAATTAACCTCTTTTACATGACCTTCCCGGGTCATTTATGTCTTGTAATATTTTTTTATTTATAATATTCCTATAAAATTTAATTACCTAATTTATTAATATCAAGAAAACTAGTTAATTTAATTGATAATAATAAATTTATTAATTTATATATATTTTTAAATTATTTTTATATTACTTCTCTTTCATAATTAATATGTATATAACTTCTACATCTCAATAATATTTTCCTCTCCTAATTATTTTTCATATTTTTTATAATCAATTACAGTATATGTTCTTTAGAAAGTTTCTATTTATAAGGGTGTATTAAATTAGAATTTCTATAAAATAAAAAAAGAGTTATGTGATATTCAATTAAGATAAATTAAGATTTTTTAAGAGTTTGTCAAAATCTAATAGTATACAATTGAAAGAATCAGAACTTTTTTTACGAATTTGTCAAAATCTAATAATATTTAATTAATTAAGACTTTTTTTTTATTTTAAAAAAGTATATTGATATTCAAAAATATAGAAATTTCAATATATTATTTTGAATAGTGAATTTTGTGAGATCTTTAACATAATTACATGTAATTCACTCATCAAATAATCTCACCAAAATCTTTAAGATTTTGTATGACTTTTTTACCTTTTTATTTCTACTCTTTTTTTTTTTTTTTCTCTCTTAAATATTTTCTCTCACTTTACAAGCTTTTCTTTCATATTCTTTTTTCTCTCTCATTCTCTCGTCATTCTTGTTTCTCTCTCTTATTTTCTTCACTATATCACTTTCTCCTCTTCTTTTTATTCCTTTCCTTCATTTATCTTTTCTTCTTCTTGTATTTTTTCTCTCTCCTTCTCTCTCGACTTTCTTGTTTTCCTTTCTCTTTCTCTCTCTTTCTTCTCTATCTCTTTTTCTTTTTATCCATCTCTCTCATATTTATCTCTTCTTCTTGTTCCTCTCTATCAATTGATGCATAATTTATCAAATTTTATTTTTTAATTATTAAATATTTAAAATGATTTTTGTATTATTAAATATTATCTATTTTTAAAAATTTTAAATTATTAAAATTTAGATGTTTATTTTTAATAAAATTTAATATTGAAATATAAAATTTTGAAACATATATTAAAAAGACTTTACAAGTTGTGGTAATGACCCTCAAAATGAAAATGAAGTTTTCAATTTACGTCGTACATCCTTAAAAAATGTGATTGAAAAGATATTTAGTATTTTTAAATCACGCTTCATAATTTTTAAGTTTGGGCCTCTGATTCTATTTAAGACATATTAGTATGTAACATTACATAACTTTATTTACAAAAAGTGTCATTCTGATAAATTTTCAATTGAATTAGTGGATGAATCTTCATCTTCAATACTACTAGTTAGTGAAGACTATAATTTTATAAACATATTATTCAAATTCAAGTGCATAAAAGAGAATATATCAATGCATAGAAGATTAGTATATATTAGTTAGGAGAACATTAAAATCAATTATTTTTCAAAAGATAAAGACAATTATTTGTTGAAAGATAGAAAAAGTTGTTGGTTTTACTTTTCTTTATTATTTATGATATTTTCTTTTAATTAAATCTTATAATATTACAATCCATGTTTTCTTATGAAATCCTTAAAATTCTTTAAAATCTTATAATACAAATTCATTAAAATATGAATTACAAAGTTTTGATTAAAATCCAATGTTTAAAAAAGTCTTTTAAAAAAATCTTTAAAATTATAACATTCCTACAAAGTCTTTTAAAATATACAAGATTTTTTCATATTAAAATATATTGTCTTTCAAAATCTTAATTCAATACACTCTCTTAATGTATTTTATCAAATTAAGATAATATGTATGGGAGTAATTTAGTATAAAATAATTAATATATGAGATAATATGAATTGCATTTTATATAAAGGAACAATCAGTTGTTCTAAGTTGAGTCTTATAAATAAGAAAAAATGTAGTAGTATTAATTAAGATGATAGTGAAGCACAATAATTAGGATGAGAATAAGCCAAACCTTAAATAGAGACTTACGACTTGACATATATTTAATAAAAATGTCAAGTTTAAACTTTTAAAAAAGTCTGTTAAACATGATAGATCAGTTTATTTATTTATATTATATAATAAAAATTATATATATATATATTAATAATATAAATAAATATTTTTTAATACAAAAAATTATCAATATTTTTAGCATTTTTTATTGCATTTCACATTCTTTGTTCGAATGAAATAAAAAATAAAACTTCTAGTAGTTACATCTTCATCTACGCTTTTCCTTAATCTTTATGATTGATTATCTAAAATATTTCAAATGGAATATAAAGAATATTTAGAGAGTTTTTTTTATAATAAATTACTCTTTTTTATCACAGTTTATGTGAGTGTATGTTAGCGTATAAATATGCATGTGTTGTTTATCTTATGTTAGTTTTTTTTATTATTTTTTTAAAATATAAATTTTAATAAAAATATAATAAAATATTTTTTATCACGTAAATTAAATTAAAAAAAATCATGTGTATATATTAAAATAAATTTGTTAGCTTTTTAAATATGCTACTAAAACAGAACAAATTTTTAAAAAGGTTAGACTAAACTTATAAAAAAAACTTATAATAAATAATAAATCAAATTTAAGCTTTAATTTTATAAAATACATCTAATTTATATATTCAAAATCTGATCTGGTCTATTTTCATCTCTGCTTAATGTGGATATCCATTTAGTTGTATGTTTTCCCAAAATTAAGTTATTTTTAAGAAGTTAAAATTTTGAAGCTTATCAACAACTTTTTTTCTTTTAAACTGATTTACTATATAAAACCTGATTTTTTTATTGTATTTAAAAAAATCATATTGAGATAATAATCACATATAATAATAATCGATAATTTATACAATTAATTATTAAAATGATATAATTTTTATGGCTTTTTCAAACACACCGTCAATTAGTGCATTGAGGTTGGAGATCTTCTGATGGCTACAAGCTCTTCGTAAGGTTAAGACACAATGAGAAACGAAGTGGTTACTTACAAAAGTCACTTTGATGCTAAAATTAACAAAGATTCATCTAGAGTGATGATATGGAATAAAATGCTTACCTACTTTAGAGACCGAGACTATATATATAAGAACATCTTCAATGATATTCTTTACACAAGTTTTTATATATTAAGCAACCATTCTTATCTCATTTGGAGTTCGTCACGTGTAAGCAATGTTCCGCCATGGTGTAAGCAACTATATATTTCTAAACTTTTTTAAATAATAAACAATAGATTTTCAAGCTCAAATTCTTAACAGAAAAAAGTGGAAAATTAAAGGTGAAAGCATGGCCATAAAATGAACATTCTTGTTTGCACTATAAGAAATGTTACATATAGTGACATACAAAAAGTGTCACTATAGATACAATATATGTAAGTATATGTTTATTTGACATATAGTTATGCACAATTTTAGTGTTGATTTTGGATGAGATTTAACAACATATTTTGTGTGTCACTATAGTTTATACCCACACTTTTTTAATAATATACCAACATATATTGTAGTTATTGTGTGGGTAAAGTAATTTTTAGTGACATGTATAGTATTACTATACGGTGTGTGTCACTATATGATAATTTTGTTGTAGTGATCGTAATCAAATACTAGCCAGATACAAACTCAAAATCAGAAAATAAAATATAAAATCACAATTGTAGAACCATATACAATTTCTTTACCAAAACAATATGTTAGTTCTATTCTTTCTGTATCAATAGATCTACATCTCTATTTCCCCTATAAATTCAATAGGGCCTCTTTAGAATAAAAGAATAATTAAATAAAAACCAAATAATTACTTACAAAAATGATCACTAATAAATGAATTTAATGATATTATTTACTAGAACCATAAAGTTTAGTTTCTTTCTTAAGAAAATTCTTGAACCACAGTGCCGAAAGTTTTTGGTATCTCTTCAAATCATTTTTGTAATCCACAAAGATCATTCCAAATCTTGATGTGTAGCCTGAAGACCACTCAAAGTTATCGAACAAATTACTATACGGTGTGTGTCACCATATGATAATTTTGTTGTAGTGATCGTAATCAAATACTAGCCAGATACAAACTCAAAATCAGAAAATAAAATATAAAATCACAATTGTAGAACCATATACAATTTCTTTACCAAAACAATATGTTAGTTCTATTCTTTCTGTATCAATAGATCTACATCTCTATTTCCCCTATAAATTCAATAGGGCCTCTTTAGAATAAAAGAATAATTAAATAAAAACCAAATAATTACTTACAAAAATGATCACTAATAAATGAATTTAATGATATTATTTACTAGAACCATAAAGTTTAGTTTCTTTCTTAAGAAAATTCTTGAACCACAGTGCCGAAAGTTTTTGGTATCTCTTCAAATCATTTTTGTAATCCACAAAGATCATTCCAAATCTTGATGTGTAGCCTGAAGACCACTCAAAGTTATCGAACAAAGACCAAACATAATATCCTTTTACATTTGCGCCATTCCTATATCATGTATGAAATAAGAGAAAATAAATTAAAAACTAAAGTTATATTACAAAATAGCATAAACCTTTTTAATAAATAATGATGAATTACTTACCTAATTGCAGATTGAAGATAAAAGAGATGACGATAATGATAATCAATTCTAAAAGTATCCATAAGAGATTCTTCAAGTGATAGTGTTGGATCATCATATTCATTTATACCTATAAATTAAAAGAATAATACAAAATATAAGTTAAGATATTCTTTCAATAGGTCATAAAATTAAAAATTATGTGCCACAATGCACACTCTTACAATAAAGGAAATTAAACATATATAGACAAGTGTTATTTACCATTTTCTGTGATGTAAATCAAAGGATTGTTGTATTTTTCTTTAGTATATAATAAAAGATCACGAATTCCTCTTGGATAAACATATAACCAATCAGAAGCAATCTGCATTATTATGAAAAAGAAAGGTTAATTTTATTTATTTTTTATCAAAAGGATTGAACTTGTAGATCATTTACATGTTCAAGGAGGTATACCTTTATGCCTATAGGTTTTCCATCACGTTCATCTGCAATCAATTACAAATATTAAAGACAAGTTATTATCAACCATGATGATATTGAATATTATATATATGCAATTTAAAGAATTGATAGAATGATAAAAAATTAAAGTCCTTACATGCAGGATTTACAAGAGAATCTGTTATGTAGCTAGGTCTAGCATTGCTTAGATGAGGTGCATCAGAGGCATATGTTGTAGAGTAATAGTTTAGACCAATAAAATCAAATGACCCAGCTAGTTGTTTGGATTGTTCTGTAGTAAACTTTGGTAATCGTGTTCGTACAAGAGATCGCATGCTTTTTGGGTAATCTCCGGAAGTTAATGGATCCATAAACCTGAAATCAATTAACTATCAATTCAACCTTTTGTTCAACAAGTCATGCATTCACAAACCCAAATAAAGAAAATAATAAATAGGTTGTCCTTATTAAATTCTTCATATAAACACCCTTGAAGGCACACCGTTTAAGGCTTGAAAATTGAGTAGAGGCCTTCAAAGTTGAGGATAATGAAACCCCAATATATAAAGATATTGTCTAGTAGGTTTTACTTATGCATTGTATTATTTTTTTTCTTCAATAAATTCATATGTATTTTGTAGAAACCAAAAGAGATGGAGGAACTCTTACCATCCATACATAAAGTCAATAGCTCTTTCAGCAGCCTTTTGATCATATTTGGTATCCTTGAGTGGCAAAAACCAATTAGCTACCAAGGTTATGCCTATTAGACCCCTTTGAGATGCCTGTGTACATAATATTCAAATATTTAGTTTTTAAAAAAGAAAATATAAAACCATCTTTATTATAATAATTTCTTTTTTCTAATCCAACATCAATGTTAATTTAATATGGCAAAGTCTAACTATAAACATCTAAAAGGTTAAAAAAAATTAACTTACTTGATACTTTGTCTTGTACACACGAACAGTTGCTGCGTGAGCAAGAAGTTGGTAATGTGTAACTAAATAAGGTTCTGTTGCAGAATCACCACCAGTGCAATTTAAATTTAACCAAGTAGAACAACGACCTGGTGCCATTCGTCCATTTGCATAGCCATTATTACTATAACTCCATGGCTCGTTCAAAGTAACCCAATGTTTTACCCTATCACCAAATTCCTTGAAACAAAGTTCGGCATAGTCTTGAAAATCTTTCCTGAAGATCAATGGTTCAATAAATTATATTTATATTTAGATTTTAAATGTATTAAGCACATAAAAAATTAACATTGTTTTAAAATTGAAACTCACACTATGCGTGGGCTTAAAAAGCCACCATACTCATCTTCTAATGCTTGAGGAAGATCCCAATGAAAAAGAGTCACAAGTGGTTTTATACCTGTAATTGTTAATATTTAATTAATAATGACTATAATGTTATAAAATTAAAGTCAAAAGTACACTAAAAGTTGAAATCAATTGAGTTTAATTAAATTCTAACCATTTGCGAGCAACTCATTGATAAGATTGTTGTAATAGTTGATTCCTTCTTGATTTATTCCTCCACTTAGCTTTCCTCCTGTGGATATAAAATTAAAATAATTGGTTAAATATGGTATGATCCGACTAGGCAAAGCTCAGTTCAAATTAGTTATCGTATGCAATAAACTTACTTGGGAGAATCCTTGACCAAGATATGGAAAATCTATATGAATCCAAATTCATATCCTTCATCATCGCAATATCTTCCTGCACAAAAATTGACGTTTATGAACACCGATTATTATATATATTTATTTGAAATAGATATAATTCATATTGTAAAATAAATAAATAAAATACTATCTTACTGTGATAGTAAATGAAATATATATACATACCTTGTAGTGGTGATATGAGTCAATGGCTACGTCTCCGTTGCTTCTATCGTTGATCTTTTCTGCATTTCATTAATAAGCAAAATGTAAATGATATATACACGTATATGTATTTCATTCTCAAATATATATACGTATAGGGAATGAGAGAGATATATAATTAACTAGTTACCTGGGTATTTATGGGTGAAGGTGTCCCATACACTTGGTCCTCTACCACCTTCCCTTGCTGCACCTTCGAACTATATATAAACAAAAAATTAACAAAATCAAAACCATGCAATAAATTAAGTATATAGCTAGAGATTGAACATATATTAATCCCTTTATATATGTTTGTGTTGTAATAATAAGGGCAATATATATACATACCTGGTATGAGGAAGAACCTGCCCCAAAGATGAAGCCTTGAGGAAAACTGTTCCGATTGAGTGAAATGTCAATAATAGGTGAAACTGTAACTGTTTCTTTGCATGTAACTTTGGAAGAAGTAAGAAGAAGAAGACCAATGAGTCCGAGAACGAAATAGCCATTGAATGCCATGTTGTGTGGTGTGGTATGTTTGTCTTAGTTTGGTTTGATGTTATCTCTGAGAATGAGTTCCTCTTTATATAGGAAGGAGTACCAACTATCTCACTATGACGTTAATTAATTTGTTTACAATATAATATAATATACTCTAGTGTTGACTTAGATAGAACACTGACCAACTACACTTCACGTTCATGCCTACCTAGTTTTATATATTACAGTCAAACTTACCCCACGTTTTTCTCAATTAATTAGGCCATTAATTTTCCCAGTAATATTGATTATCAAAAAAGACGGCTGTCCACGACATTTTTTTAACAAAAGAATACGTGTTACTACGGCATCATATAGTATTATCTTAATTTGTTTGGTCCAAGACGAACAAAACAGTGTTTCCAAAAAGAGTATGCCCAATGCTCATAATGTTCTTCACACGAAATTACTTGAAAAAGAGAAAGAGGATAAAACAAAAATAGTAATAATAATAAAATAGTTCTTTAAGGAATTTTGAATCCACAATTTTAATCTGTGTCCAATAAACACCTCTTGTGCACAAGCAACGATTGACGACCAGCCGGAAAATATTGATCAAGATGACGAATAGTTAGCAATTAAAAAGTTTGTTTGTAATGCTTTTGAATAGTGTTTTATTTTATATGGTAAATACTTCTGCGTATATTTGTCCAAAAGTTTCAAGCAGTCAAACTTTCATAAAATACTAAAATGATGAATTCACATTATTTACTTAATCTATCTCAATAATTTTCGAATTGGTCAAACCTGAATATCGACTGATTAAAGTATTAAAATACGATCACCTTCATTCAAAGTCGCCAGGTTATCTACCAATTAGACGCATACACATTTTTTTAATTTCGTTCATTGCTTTAATCAATTATAAAATTTTCAATCAACATTGAAATTATATATTCTTATTTATTTATTTATTATTATAGAAATATTTTATATATTCAGTCAAAAAAAGAAATATTTTATATTGTCTAAATAATTTTTTAAGATTGATGATGACTGTATGTGTTCATGTATAAATTATAAATACATATGGAGAGACTTGCTAACTATATGCATTTACAGTTAACCGCGTGATACTTATTGGAGTCATTTTGAATTATGTAAATTCAAATTATACAAGGTATACATTGTATAAGTATCTTTAAATTTGGGTAAAATAAACTAAAACATATAAAATTAAATATAGTTAAAATTATAAAAATATGTGAAATTAATTCAAAATGGTTAAAGTCTAATGTGAAAGGATCAATTTTTTTTTTGAAGAGTATATGTTAAAATATCTGACAGCGTTATAAATTCTAATTTAAAAAATATTGATTAAAATATAGTAATAATAAGTAACGGATATAGCATAACCTCTAAGTGTGAATTATTATATTATTGAATAAAACTATTTTGTGAATAATTGTAGTATAATAAAAGAATCTGTTAAAAGAAGAGTTTAACATGCATGTATAGTCAATATAATTTTTTTAATTGTCAATTAATCAAAATTTATCTTTATTGTGATTTTAAGATAATTATTATAAAAACTAATAAATTTAATATACATGATACCTTAAGATGACATTGTAATATTTTTCATTATTAATCCAAGTTTTTTTTATTCTTAAAAGAAATTAAGGAAAATAATCAGTAGTTTATTTTATTCAACCCACGACCAAAAACCATATCCATGTATGACTCGGTCGTTTTCGTTTATATGATAGCATATGGATTTTAGTGAATAATGATAGGGAGTTGCTATGGTACCCTCATCGAGGAGTTTCAATACATTTTTCTATGTAAACTCATAAAAGATTTTTAAAAAATTAATTTAATCATAACATGAATAACCCAAATTATACTTATAAAATAAAATATAAGATAAAATTATAGAGATTAAAATTATAAGATTTCAATAATATTATAAAATATTAAAAAAGAAAAAATTAATAAATAATAGAAATAAAAAATTATTAAAATTATAATATAGAAATTCAAAAATTTAAGACAAAAAGACAAAAATATACTTAAAAAATTATTAAAATTAAAATATAAAAATTCAAAAAATTTAAGTGAAAAGATAAAAATATACTTAAAAATTATTAAAATTAAACTATTTAAATATATAATAATATTATTACAAATAAATTAGAATATATAAAATAAAAAACTGTACCGGTACCCTCTCAAATAAAATGGGTATCATAAAATTTCCCATAATGATATTGTTCGGTAAGATCCAACCTTCATTTGTTCTCAACTAACGGTCAATGTATGATGCATCAAAACACGCAAGTCATACGTATGTATAGAATTCTCGTATTTGTTTTTTCAATTAGCTACAGAATCATATTTATCTAATGGGAATAAAATGCAACAAACAATAATTATGAAAGAAAATTATAATTACGAAAAAGTTAAATATGTTTTTAATCACTATAAAATTGATAAATTTTTATTTTATTTTTTTTATAAAAAAAACATTTATGTTTTTCTTTATAAATATTATTTTTTATTTTTGTAAAATATTTTGACCTTAATAAAGTAAGTAAATTTTGATTTTAGTGCATGTATATCTTTTACTTATTTTTAATCCTCTAAAATCTTAAAATCTTTATTTTTTGTCTATCAATAATTTTAAGTTAGATAAACAACATTTATTTTAATAATTTATGCAAAATTTTATAGATATCATATACTAACGTAGTATCATTAATCATGAATAATACCTATTTCTAAATGTAATTAATTAATAATAAGGACTAAAAATAATAATTTAAATTTTAGATTAATGAAAAATTTAAAAAGTATTATAATATTTTTTAAAGTTTTTATTGGTTAAAATTTTAATATTTTCTGATATAATTATTAAAAACATATTTTTTTTAATTTTTAAAAAAATATAATCTTTAATTATTTTTACAAAAAAAGAAAAAGAGTAAACAAACAAATGGACTAAGGATATTTTATTATTCAATCTTACTAATTAAGTTGTTTTACAGGACTAATTAAGTTTTTTGGAGAATAATTAGTATTTATTTATTATTATTAAAAACAATTAAGTATAATGTTACCAAAGAAAAAAACAATTAACTATAACCGAAAATGAAATTTTTCCAAATTTACACGCAGGGGTACAAATTAGAAAATTTACACCGCAAGTGGCCACAGAGCCCATTTCATGCACACAAGCCCAATCTAAATTGACACCCTAACATTTACACCAGCAGGCTCACAAAATCTATTATCATCACTCACACAACACCATACTTTAATATATAAACACTTTAATATATTGCGACTGAGTAAAAGTTCATTTGAATATAAATTAGCAACGGATTTTAGAGTGTTTTTCCCTTAAAAAAATATTCTTTATTTTATTAATAAAATTCTCAAAATCACTTCTAATTTATATTAACAAAACAATAAAATTGAGACTCCAATCATTTAAAATAATATACCATACTCTCTTCTATTTAACATTATGCATGAATTATACTATGGTCATATGTTCATTTTTTTTAAGATTGTTGGTAGATTTTTTTATAATAATTTTTTATACAATTTTAATTATATAAATATTTATTTTTTTATTTGACTAAATAAATTTTCTTTGATGTTCCTTTAAAAAATTTAGGCGATCGCTTTTTTCAATCGTGATCAAAGTCACACAAATATTAATATTTAATTTTTCTTGGCACCATAATATTAATATTTGTTAGAGATATTGAATATTATTGAAGTAATTTTTTGGAAATAAATGAGAATTATTGAACTACATAATTTTATTTGTTTTAATTTTAAACTTTAATTTTAAAGTAACTTTTACGAGAGAAGTTGGGCACTACTAAAGTATTCCAACTTATAAGCCAAAAAAAAGTTGGAAATCAAGATCTAGTTGCAGGAAAAAAAAATTATTAGCAATCATAAAAAAGTTATTAACGGTTTGCTAAATATGTGAATACTAATGTAATCTGAAAATCATCTTTAGCAATTTAAAAATGTTAATAAAAATGAACTATATTATTACGTTGATGAGTTAAATGCAGTAGCAATATAAATTACTTAAGAGAAAACACGTGAACAAATATATCTATTTTTATTCTTTTGACACATTTTTATTTAATTATCTTTTTATAGTTTTGAAGTAATTTTTATATTTGGGATTGTGGTGAAGCTTGTCATGGTACGAGGAATAGAGACTAAAAAGAATTGCACAGAACAAAGAAAAAAGAAAGATTGAAGATGATAATGATGATGATGAGTATACACTAGTACAAAAGAGACATTTTACGTCTATTATTTTAAATTTTTTATGTCAAAAAAAAGTTTGACGTTAATGCGAGAGACGTAAATTTACGTCGGGTATTTTAGCCGATGTAAAATTATGTCGAAAATCTCCACGTCCAACGTAAAATGGTTGACAGATAAATAAAAAAATAATCTCAATCCGTAAACGTGTCCAAAAAATACTCAAATGCTTCAATCTAATCGGAGGGATAGGTCCATAATAAAAAAATGAGACTTGTCGTCGTGCACCGTGAATGAAAAACGCCCAAAGTTCTATCATCGCTATCGCTGAAAACCATTGGAGAGGAAAATAATGTCAAAACACTCGCGTGCAGGAGTAAAATAACATTTTTACACAAAAAGATCAACACACACATGAAAGCACTAACCTCAATCCGTGAAAATTCCTAAATGCTTCAACCCAATTGAAGAGATAGGTTCATAATCAAAAATGGGTTTTGCCGCCGTTGTCGTCGCCACTCACCGTCGTTGTCATCGTCGCTCACCATTATTGTCGTCGCCGTTGTCGTTGCTGCTCACCATCGTTTTCGTCGCCGTTGTTGTTGTTGTCGCCAGAAATCGCCAGCAAAAAACCCTAGAGGAAAACATGTAAAAGCACTTACGTGCACGAAAAAGATGAAGGTATTGGGGGAATAAAACAACTTTTTTACGTCGGACCAAAAGGGGTCTGACATAAAAATTTAAATCTATGTTGGACTGTACTTCATATCCGACGTAGATTTTAATTTTTACGTTGAATCCCCTTTGGTCCAACATAAAAAAGTTTAGATTAATTTCAAAAATGTCACCGCGTATTTTTTACGTTGGGTGTTTTTATGATCGACGAGAAAATAGTGACGTAAATATTGATTTTCCACTAGTGATAGCTGAAGTAATGGGAGAACCTCAATCAAAATCTTCAAGTGAACATGATGAATAGTAATACAACAAAAATGACACATTCCTGATTGAAAATGATTACCGATCATGTAAAAGGAAATTGCCAAGCAAAAATATTTCAATGAAATTTTTTTTAAGTTATAATTTTAAATTTTTAGTTCAGTTTTTCACAACTTCATTTTTAAAAGGTTTTTTGTCTATAGAAAATAAGAGATACTTTATACCTTATTTATATTGTGTACTGGGAAAATCACATCGACTACGTGAAACGGCACGTGACGCCCTGTCGACCATCAAGATGGCCGAGACAAAGGGCATTCTCCATGCAGTAGTCTTGGTCATCTCGGCCACCGAGATGGACGAATACAAGAGCTTCTACATTAGCTAGTTTGCCACTACTCTCGGACACATCAGTAGTCGAGATGGCCGAACCTAGAAGGCACATTGCGCCCAAGACATCAAAGACTCGACCATGTTAGTAACCTAACTAGTCGACCTGATAACGTCTTGGCTCGGTCAGAGGCCGAGACCCGAAAGAGCAGCTTCGGTCATACACCTCTTGGCTCGGCCAACGGCCGAGACGACTAAATACAAAAATTAAGGCGACAATCATGGTTAATAAGGACAAACACATGATTAAGGCGTAATTAGCCATTTAACACCGTATTACCTAATTTACTAAATGTAGAGGAGGCTCACCACGGTCAGGACCTATTATAACTAGTATAAATAGCTAGGTCACGTAAAACGAGGTATGTTACTGTTCATTTATTATCATCGAGATTCGTGTTTGTCCTTACTTGAGCATTGAAGTGCCTTTTGTAGGTACCCTTCCCCTTTGAAGCATCCGTCCAAAACTCTCATTCGGCCTTCAGACTACTAGAAGATTACGAGTGTGCCATTAGACATGTACATATTGTTTATTGGTGTAGTAGAACTAGAATGTTATTTGTTCAAAATAATTGAAAAATACAAGTTATTAGTTATGTAACTACTCATTTATTAATTTAATTCATATTATATTTAACTTTTATGGTTCATTCTTATAATTGTTTGATGGAGAATTCATTAAGATTAAATTCTAACATTCTCAAATGATCAAGTTATACTTCTGTCTCTCAAGAAACAAGTGCATAAATCTCAACTCAATGCCTCATAATTAACAAAATGATGAACAACTTGAAGCTAATGCTCGTAAATTTGTAGCATCATTTCCTAAAAATAAAAAATAAAACAGTGTTACTGAAATTGCTAATAATTATTTTACTTATTTATTTTAAACAAACATGTCATTAATTAAGAAGGGACATTAGTATACAATTAACACAAAGCTTCAAAAGAAAAGGGCCAAAGTCATATGGGGAATCTTGATATCCAAATTCCTTGCCATATATTTAAGCTGTGTGAGAAACATGCAAAATACTTGGATTTAAATCCAAGGCAACGATTTATTTACGTTGCAAAGCTCCTTTACAAATTAAAAATTGGACAAAAATATTTAAAAATAATTCGTATAATACAAAAGTTAATGTTGTTATCCCCATCACTTTCATTATCATTATTATTACTTCAACGAATGGTGACAACAATAATGATAATAATAGATTGAGATGATGATAATAGTATTAGTGATAATAATAGTAAAGATAGTGATGACGATAGCTGTAATGACAATGACAATAATAACAATTATAAAAATAATTACAATGAAAACGATACATAATAATTTTATTTATAATCTTTTAATTTAAGTTATTTATTTTAATTTAAAAATTATTATTAATTATTCTGGTTAAACAAGTATTTTTATTTGAATCATCCCTATTTATATATTTTTTTATATCTTAACTGCATTTGAAATAACAAAGATTTTCATAAAATTGATTTCATATAAAATATTTTAATCGACGCGATAATTAAGCCTTCTTAATTACTAGCAAAAAAAATTTGTACCCTTTTCGAATTAATTTGTAGCTTAGTTCCTTTTTCAAGGAGTGGATGAAGTTTTATTCCTTAATTTTCGCTTAGGGAATACTATGATTTAACCAAAAAAAATAAAGAGTTTTAATTTCATCAACTTATAAAAATTTATAGGGAGAAAACAGAAACACGACGCATTAATAATTTAACATGATATAATCAAATACAAAATCAACAAATTTATATATTCATTTTTCATTTCAGGTCGAATAAGACCTCATGACACATATAATACAATTAATAAAGAATTAAAAAATATTTACCAATATAATTATTTAACAAATGAATCTCCTAATAACAATATTATTTAATATTAACTAGAATAAAAAAGTCTAGCTTTTTTCTTGAGAAAATTCTTGAACCATATTGCAGAGAGTTTCTTATATCTTTTCAAGCCATTTTTGTAATCAATAAAGGTCATCCCAAATCGTACGGTATAACCTGATGACCATTCAAAATTGTCGAACAAAGACCATACGTAGTATCCCTTAACATTCACACCATGCCTGTCATATATAATTAGAAGGAAACAAATTAAAAGAGAGAAATATGTATATAACTTATGGAATGAAAAAACACATATACGAAACATTTTGTAGTTGTAAAATACTACTTACTCAATTGCTGATCGAAGATAAAAGAGATGACGATAATGATAATCAATTCTAAAAGTATCTAAAAGAGATTCTTCAATTGATAGTGTTGGGTCATTAAATTCATTTATGCCTGTAAGAAGCGTATGATGCAAATTGTTAATAAACATCAATATATATGCTATATTGCTATCAAGAAAACTAAATATCATAAGGAGGGATTTGTTTACTCTAAGAGCTATCTAAACTTATTTGGTTCAACAACTCATATTTTACATCAAATTTTAACGATTCAACTGTTGAATTTAAAGTTCTTAATACATAAATCAAGTTTACAAATTTTTAAAAAATTTGATACTTCGTTTCATTAATTCAAATTGATGAATAATCATAAAAGCATTTTATAGGTTGATTTGAATTAATGAAATAAAGTATCAAACAATTTTCAAATTTTTAAAAAAAATTATAAACTTAATTTATACATTAAGAATTTTAAAATAACGGCTGCATTATTGAAATTTGACATAAAATATGAATTATCGAACAAAGTAGGTTTAGATAGACTTACTCTTACAATAAACGGATCCCTCCTCAAATATCATATATAAATATGTTTTACTTACCATTTTCAGTGATGTAAATCAAAGGATTATTATACTTTTCCTTAGTATATAATAAAAGATCACGAATTCCTCTTGGACAAACATACAACCAATCAGAAGCAATCTACATGGATATAAATTAAGGTTAGCTTCATATTTTATTAAATGGATTAAAATTATATATAACATTTACAAAAGTGGGGATACACATATACCTTTATGCCTATCGGTTTCCCATCTCGCTCAACTGCAATCAATCACATATAAGACAAGCCATTGTTAACAATGATCAAACTCAACATGCATAAACAATTAGTTTAGAGAGTCCATAAAATGTTGTAGATCGAGTACTTACATGCAGGATTGAATAAAGCATCTGTTAAATAGCTAGGTCTAGCATTGCTTAGATAAGGTGCATCAGAGGCATAGGTTGAAGAATAATAGTTTAGTCCAATAAAATCAAATGAACCAATGAGTAACCTAGCTTGCTCTGGAGTGAACTTTGGTAATCGTGTTCTCACAAGAGCTCGCATGCTTTTTGGATAATCTCCTAATGTTAATGGATCCATAAACCTGAAATCAATAAACTTTTTACTTAATTTCCATTCAACAAGTCACACAAATTTTATCACCCTGAAGCAAAAACAAGTTGCCCAATTATAAAAGCCTTATTGTATAAACATTTAAAGTCCTTGACCTAACTATTTTCAACCAAAATCTTTAGCAATATAAAACCCAGTATATGTGTATTATTTTGATTTTTGCATAATATATGATGTGTATTTTGTAGATATAACTAAAATGAAAAAGGAAGAAGGAAAAGGACAAAAAGGATTTCTTACCATCCATACATAAAGTCAATTGCTCTTTCAGTAGCTTTTTGATCAGCTTTGGTATTTGAGAATGGTAAGTACCAATTAGCAACCAAGGTTATTCCTATTAAACCCTTTTGAAATACCTGCACACAAATAATTAAATACTATTATTATTATTATCCATTTCCTTATATTTAGAAAAATTAAGCAACACCATTTTGGATAATTTCTTTGTTTTTTAAAACCCAAATTGATCCAAAATAATGAATATGTAAAGTCTAAAAAAATCAAATTTACAATGTTAATAAAGTAACAAACCTGGTACTTGGTCTTGTATACACGGACTGCTGCTGCATGAGCAAGCAGTTGGTAATGTGTAACCAAATAGGGCTCAGTACTAGAATCACCCCCAGTGCAATTTGGATTTATCCAACTAGAACAACGTCCAGGTGCCATTTTTCCATTTGCATAGCCATTATTAGTGTAACTCCATGGCTCATTTATTGTAACCCAATACTTAACTCTATCTCCAAATTCTTTAAAGCAAAGTTCCGCATAATCTTGAAAATCTTTACTGAAGATCGACATAGATGTTCAACAAAATTATATTCATAGTTATTGAATTTTCTAAGTGTAATAATACTTTTGAATTAAAACTCACACTATGAGAGGACTTAGGAAGCCACCATATTCATCTTCTAGGGATTGGGGAAGATCCCAATGAAAAAGAGTTACAAATGGTTGTATATCTACAAATATTGTTTATATTTATAATTAGTATATGATTATCATTAATAATAAAAGAATATTGTAAAAGGAAAAACAATAAACTAGAAGTTGTGTCCATTGAGTTTAAACCTTACCATTAGCTATTAACTCGTTAATGAGGTTGTTGTAATAGTCGATTCCTTCTTGATTTATACCTCCACTTAGCTTTCCTTCTATGGTTGTATATATCAATTGAAAAATTCAAATCAAATTATATGATTACAGTAATCCAAGTAGGTTAAAGTTAGTATAAAACAATCGTCGATAAACATTTGACTTACTTGGCAGTATTCTGGACCAAGAAATCGAGAATCTGTATGAATCCAAATTCATATCCTTCATAATATTAACATCTTCCTGTAATATATATGGATAACATATATTTTATTATATTGCATCAAAATAATTAAAATTAAATAAAAATAAAATAAAATACACGACTGTAGGTATAGCCTTTTTTTTTTTTTTTTTCATTTATTTTACTTTCAATTAGAATCCAAAACTTGTTTACCTAATCGAAATCCGTAACATAATTAAGATCTAATTTGCTCTTTAAGTAATTAGTTTGTTTTATGGGATTAATTCATATATTATCACCATAAAATATTTTTTTCATAAACATTTAATAAAAAATTACTTTATCATAACATCATATTTTAATATATAGAATGGCATATAGTAAAGTAGTCAAATATTAAATGTCGGTATAATGTATATAAATTAAACTCTAAAGCAAGAGGGTACTGTTTAATTTTATAGTTCATAAAATAATTAGTTATTAAAATAGTGCAATTAAGTAGTAACCACTAATCTCAAAAGTTAGAAAATTCATTTTTAATCCAACTACTTATAATCTTAACAATTATGACTTTGACAATTTTTAAATGTACATCATATGTTCTTTAGTACTTTAGAAGAGACAAAATAATACTTTAATTTGAAGCGACTATACCTTGTAACGGTGATATGCATCAATGGCCACGTCTCCATTGCTTCCATCCATTATCTTTTCTGCAAATCAATTCAAGATGCACATATTGTAAATTAAATCATATATGCTTACAAACATATTAACCAAAGTTCATATAAAGATAACATATCTAGCATCTCATTCCCATATATCTCTTTCATATCAAGCATCTCATTCCCATATATCTTTTTCATACTCTTCGAAGAATTCTTCAGTGTATCTTTAAAATAAAAATTAAAAAAATATATAGAGAAAGTGCATATTTTTAAGTTCAAAATTTGGAGTTGTGCAGAAAAATCGCAAATAATCATCGCATACCTGGATATTGATGGGTGAAGGTATCCCATATACTCGGTCCTCTACCACCTTCCTTTGCTGCACCTTCGAACTATATATATACATATCACAAGCACAACAATCAAGATCATTTCTAATGAGCAAAATGAAGAGATAGACATTATAATATTAATAACTTTATCACATTAATGTAAGAAGGGTCTATATATAATATATACCTGGTATGATGAGGATCCTCCCCCAAAGATGAAACCTGGAGGGAAACTATCTCGATTCAGCGAAGCAACATCAATAATGGGATCAACTTCAACAGTTTCTGTGCAATCAACATTCCACGTGCTAATCAAAAGAACCAAAGCAACTGCAATGCGAAAGGTGTTGCACTTGCATTCCATTTTCTATGATTATGCTTAACCTTTAATTTTCTTTCTTTTCGCTGTCAATGATTCTGATTAGTTAATTGCTTCACGATTGGCACAAATGATGTGTTATATATATATACAGTGAGACTAGCCAGCTAACAACATTAATTATAATATAATATTATATTACCAGTGGAGACTGGAGATTGAGATTAGGAGACACGGAATCCCATGTGTTCAGAGTGGGAAAAAAAATAATTATATTAAAGGTTCGAGTTCGTCTCCTTTGACATATTCAATCTGAGAACGAATATGGCGGCAGTTTTTTATGTTATGCAAAATGCCCCATTTCGTTTGCATAAAGATTCATCATTTTTATTATTAATTTCTAAGCTAGTAAATACTAATTAAGAATAGTTTAATATTTATAACCGAAAGAATCATCAATCGTTTTCCCTAATCAAACCGTGTCAATAATATGATTGATGACTGATAAAAACGTGCTGAACGTGATGAACCCTACAAGTTACCATTTGGTAGCAACTTGTTGGTTTGGTGTTATAGTTGTTAATGTGTTTGTGGTTGTTAGTGTGTTTGTTAAGTTTAATTACTTTTTCATTGATAGTTGCGTTTAATTAATTACTAATTAATATAGATGTCCTACAGCCTATTATTTTTTAAGAACTATTCATGAAAACATAACTAATAAGCTTGTCCTATGTGATATTACTATAAATTTTTAATGAATAATTTAATATTTTTAATATATTAATAAAAACTTCGGTTTAATTCAATTAATTAAGTAGCAAAACATATACACCTGATTCTAAATATAAGGTGTCAAATCTAAATTTTGTAAGCAGAGAAAACAAACTTTAACAGAGCTTTGTACTTTTTAATAGATATACTAAATTAATTGGATTCAAAGTATTTTTCAAATAATGAGAATTTCAAACTAAATTTATAATTTTATTGACATTGGTCTTTAGGTATAAAGCATTTAAGAGCATTGAATAAATTTTATCATTAGCATCATGGTATGCTAAATTTGAAATAAACTTCATGACTACGAAATGTCAAAATCTTTGTGGATGAGGTCCACTGTAACTCGTTGACCGGGTTAACCTAATTTTGTGGATGTTAAAGAAAATCTTATCCAAAACTAAATGGAAAAAGTGCAGAAGGGTACAACGTGAATGCGATGTTACAATCTAATTAATTGAACTTTCAAAATTATTCATCTGAGAAATTTCTTTACCATTCACTATATCCAAACGTAATCAGACTGTAACACACAACAACAATTAATTCCATGTTTATCTCTTTCGTTAATATTTTCCAGAAATTCGTCAATCCAATGAACTTAAAGAATTTGAATGTCCATACTGTGTAATACAAGAAGGCAATACCAAAACATTTTGTTACTTCTATAAAGTCATATGGTTGAATACCTGAGATTTAGTCATGATCTTTAAAAATTTCCTTGAAAAGTACTAATTAAATATCATAAGACTTATTTAACTCTTATCTATTTACTGCTTTTGGAAATAGGATTTTATTTTCTAAATCTTATTTGTCTCGTGTCTATATTTTAAAGTATTTATCTTCTATGCATATTTTTGTTTTCTATATATATAT